TATCCACATCTCAATCCCATGCGCAATTGCTGTGGACCTACACCTATGAGGTTCTCACCCGAGAAGTCGACACCCAGAGCATTCTCCCCCCGCTGCCCGAAGGTATCTGAGAGGTGCTCTGGGGTATTGTCGTCGACTAACTCTCCCCCCGCTGCTCCAGAGCGCCGAACTGGGATGCAGGAAGAATGGAGGGCCCCCCCAACACGCCGGGATCAGGAGGAGTCCAAGCGGCCCCCAAGCTCAAGACCTCTGAAAAAGAAAAACGAGAAGGGCCGTCAGCCAAGTTCGATTTACTCTCCACTCGATCGATATAGACAAAAGCGCGCGAGCGAGCAACAAGCAACCAAAAGTCTCCGACGAGGGAACTGCTATCCACCTTAGGTGAGTAGCCTTTAATTAGACTCGCGGAGGCACTGTCATTATCGCAAAAGTGGATGATCGAACGACTTTGGAGACGAGTAGCCCATGTCTGAAAAGCTATCGGTGCGGCAAGCAGTTCGAGCTGGCCCATAAAAGACTTCCGCTGCAACCATCTTGCGACGACGGAGTCGGGCACGGCCCAAGCTGTGTAGGCTTGAAATTTGTCTAAAGGATCAAAGATGTATGCGCCAACGGCTCGTTGGGGTATTCTTTCCGGGACGTCGGAAGCATCTGTATAAAGCAAGACGGGAGCAGGATGATGTATGCGAAGTTCTCTAGAAGGACTTTCAGAGAGAAATTTTCTCATCAATTCCAGAGCTTGTTCCAACTCCTGGGTGAGAATCTCAGTTGGATAGGAGGCATATTGCCTTCTGCGCAGGGCTCCTGTGCAGCAACGGCCCACTTTTCCAAAAAGCGTAGAGCACAAAAACTGAAACTTCCCGACCAGGCTGGCTGCCTGGTGAGGGGAGATCCGTCGATTCTGAAAAATCTTCTCTATTGCTTCTTTCAGAAAAGCGACCCGTGTTTCTTTAGCATGCACTGTAATAATGCGCTGCTGGTGCAGAGTTTGGGTACAAAAGACTACCCCCAAAACGCTGCAGAGCTCCGATGGTGGTTGAGACTTCTCAGGGTCCAACTGGAACCCAAGCAAATTAAAGCTCTCCTTTAAGCAGGCTATTGCAGACTGAATGGTGATCTCGGGTTCCACTACAAAGAAATCATCAAAGAAATGATCGACAAGGATGTAGTACAACTTCTGAAGCAAGCGTGCTATCCATTCGGCCACCCTGCAAAAGTTTGGCACGGCATGCCCTGCTCCAAATGGCTGGCCGTACATCTCGCGCAGATCGACCTGGCTGCTGATTGGGTTATACACAGCCGTTAAAGCGAAGCGTACATCAGCAGGCGCCAAGGGTATCTGCCTGTAGGCGATCTTCATGTCCTCTGTGGCTAAGCTAATCTGGTCTGTCTGCTGTGCGAGTGCTCTAACAAGAACGCCAACGTAATCGACCATTGCCATGGGCACCTTTTGCAACCTATATGCAGCCATGTTCACTCCTGATGCTGAGTGATCGTCTATCCTCCTAAACTTGGGGGCACCGCTCGCGTCCATCCCCTGCTCCAGGCCAAAGCTGGGGGTCACCTGGGTGCGTCCAGGATACAACGACTGCGCCTCCTCCAAAGTCATGGCTGGTCCCATTGTACCAGCTTGCACTTCTTTTTGCGTCTTCTCCCAGATGGCTTGGGCCAGTTGTGGGGAACCGCGACGCGCCATATACTCAACCCTTCGGATCATTGCACGTGATCTCTCTTCACTCCCACTGAGGAAGGTCTCCCAAGACATTATCGGGGGCACCTCTAGTTTCTCGAAGAATGGGGATTCATGAGCTCGTCCGGTAATACGCATGCCTTGTAGGCAAAGGTTGGGGACTAATTTATCCTCAATGTCCAGGAGTGTCTGCACCCTCTCCATGAGCAAGGTATTGATCTTTGTACCCAACTTTTTCGCAGTCCACGCTGCTGACTTATTCGCTCGAGTCTGGGACTCTTTGAGCTCTTCACGCCAAGATCGAAGCATCTTGAGGGAGTCTAAACGTCTTGCGATTAGCGTCTGAGAGTCTTTGATCTTCTCCAACGCTTCAGCATGCGCTACCTTCAAAGTGGATATGGAATCAAAAGGATGAGCCAAAGCTTTGGCCAACTCCAGGTGTCTCCCTGGGTCATACAAGCCGTCTGGAATGAGTTGTAATCTCTTCCCAAAGCTGGGCTGACTCCCGGCCTCTGTAGCATGCCTTCTATAAATACTTTCTAGAGGCTGTGCGACCTGTTCGCTCTCGTACGAATCTGAGGGAATAGGGTCGCCTGACGCACCCAGCGCCCTGCGCCTCTTGACTCCTTGTTCAGGTCTATCCCCGAAACCAGGCGAATGCTCCGGCGCCTGGGGTAGGCCTGAACTCAGGGTAGTAGCTTCTGAATACTCGAAGTTCGAGAACAGAGTTGCCCTCTCCCCCCTCCACGGTTGTGTTCCAGACCCTGGCAACGGCAAAAGAGAGGGGGGCATTGGGCCCACTAAAGATTTCCACAAATGAGGCTTCGGCCTTCCCTAAAGCTCTAGCCAGTCCGTGTGCGTATGCTCTGCAAAATTCTTCAGGGTATTCACGCTCTTCGGAGGTGGCGAATGAAAGCACTTTCCCTTCCTTCGTCTCCGGTTTCCAGGATTGATGTGGGGTTCCTGTTTTGGAGCAAAGCGAACTAGATCGACACTCGAGCCCCGCAAAATGCTCCAAGCCAGGGATGTTATGAATTAAGATCTGGGATTTCCTACGCCTACAGGGGTGAAACATGCAAGCATGATAGCTAGTAGATCGAACTCCCTCCTCCCCCTCCAGTCGGCTCCAAGACTCTAGGCCTCTTGCCAAGCTGTTCCGCGGGTGCTCCAAGCTGAAGTAGCGACCTTCGCGATGGGCAACAAGGCAATGTTCAGCGGCCATATCAGCCATCTTGGTATCAAGGTCGAGTTTCCTTCTCTTTGCTTGAGGGAGTTTGGATACGACTTCGGGAATGCCTCGGGGGTGCTCCACACTTCGGAGTGGTTTTGGAGCATTTGCGACTCCCGGAATGGGTTTCTCCCTTGCCCTCGAAAAAGTGCAACAATTAGGGGCCCAGTGCGCAACCTTCGCATTCCTCAAACTGACCTTCAGTTCGGATTCGTCTCTAAAAACGTCCTTCCCACGAAGAAGATCCCAAGGCTCCGCAACCCTTTTTCTGGAAGATGCTCTCATCCCGACTGCGGCGGCTGCATCCGCTGTGGGACGAGCGGCTCCCTATTCTGAGCCCTTCTTTCCGGAAAAGGCTCCTGCCTTTGCCTTCGCTGCGGCTGCCTTGGCTTTCTGAGCCTCTTTCTGTTCCTTCCTCCATCCAGGAGGAATTGGGCATCGAGGTTCATGACGCTTCTTGCAAATCATGCACAGGCGGGCCTTCTCTGGAGTCTCGTGCACGCCCTTGTCCTCTTCCATGCCTCTCTTCCTCTTCAATGGGGATCGCTCACGGTGTGACTTCTTTGCATCTGAGTCTTTCTCCTTCCCTTGATCCGGCAGGTGTTCGGGCTGGGCGTCCAATAGACGCCACAACCCTTCACCTTCTCCGGCCTGGGCGAAGAACCTCAGACCTGCACCCACCGTGCCTGAGCCTTTCGCCACGACCCTCAGAATCTCCGTCATGATCTCCCTATCGCACCTACGGGCCTCATTGATTGTTGGGGCCCTCATGCCTTCAGCCACCGTCGCCCTCAGCAAGCCCATAACTCGATTGTTGTATTGCTCAAAGTCCTGATAGGTGGCAACATCGAGCATTTGGAAGGCCCTGCTGCGTAGATCCATCGTGTCCTTCAAGGTCAGCAAGTCGTAGATTCTTGGCGGCTCCGGAAAGTCTTCGTCCCGACTGTTCAGGGTGATCTTTTTGTCGTCCAGGATCAACTCTTTCTTGTCCTTAGGGAGCTTCCCTGCCCGTCTCAACCTGGACTCGCACTCCATGTTCACGAAACTCTCCCATGGGAGATGTTGGAAGGCTCCTCCTGGACAAAAGTTGTTCTGCGCCTTCGTGAGCGTAAATAGGGAAGGGCGCTCCCTGTCCGATGCTGGAGGTGGCATGGCATTGTTCACTGCCTTGTCTTCCAGCTCTTGACTGATGGCGACTGTGACCTTTGTTTAGTCTCTCCATCGTCTCCGGCCATGCGCTCCAGGTTCCTCTTGGAGACCTGTGTGGCCAGGGTCCAAAGCTTCCTCAGGCATCCTACATCTTCCGAAGACTTGTACGTCTCCCATGCTTCTGCCCCACTCTTTGAGAATCCCGTAACTGTTCCACTGGGATCTCTGTAGGCCGCACGGGCGCGCAAGTGCTTTCGGAGATACTCGTCAAAGTCTGACGCGGTCGGAAAGCGAAAAGCCATGGCTTCGTACGTGGTCATCCCATCTAGGGTCAGCACCAAGTAGTCAGACTCGTGTACATCGAAGCTCGATGCAGCACGACCAAAGGCGAGGGAAGACTTAGCGTCTGAAATCCGGACCTTTGTGACTCTTGGCCTCCCGGTCGGGGCGCTGGGTGTACGGCCCGGTTTGGGCCACGAAAATGGCTCACCGAGGGACATCTTGCACACACGTCTCACATTAGGTGTGCATACGATCACGTCCAACCGAATGGTCGTGGATTCCCCTGGTGGTCCTCCAGTTTACTTCATGGGACAACCCATAAGATCGAAGCGTAGCAAAATTCCACTTCGATCAGTTCATGGGAACGACCTCATGGAACCGGGCCGCATGGCTACATGGTTCTATAAAAATCGACCGGCGCTTTAATTTTAAAATGTGCAATCGGATCGTCAAGCGTCCAGCTTCCAGGGTGAGACGTCCTCTTTCAGAAGACTATGAAACATGCACCTATGCTCCTTTGCTCTCAGTACAAAACCTCGGTCGGATGGGTCTTTGTGGTCCGCCACTGCACTCGGGTTGCATCGTCTCGAGCACCTGATCATGTAACCATCCTTCTCCTGCTTGTAGTCGCACAGCAAGGGACAGCCACCTGCCTTCCCAAAGCAGCGCTCGCAGAGCGAGTAGTCAGTTCCCCAGTCCTCATCCAGTGCCAACCTGACGAAGCGCTTTCCATTGGCATTGCAAAAGGGGAAATCCTCCCTTTCACCAGGTCCAGGTTTGTGCACCTTCCCATGTCCAGTTGCAAGCTGAATGTAGGTTGGGTAGAACTCCACATCATGAGCTTCGGGGTTTAGCGAAGAGTCGTCCGAGTCCTCCGCTTGCGATGTGACGGATGCCAACTCAGATCGTGCGTCTCCCATAGAGGCGATTGATTCTGCCTCCCTGCTAACCACCCTTTTTAAGCTCTCTTCGTCGCTCTCTTCAGCTCCGCGAAATTCCTCTCGAAGGTCCACGGACACGGGCGCTCGCTGCATCTGCACCTGCGGATGAAACTTGTCCGGGTCATTGGCACAGATTACAGCTTTCCGCATGGCTTCTACCTGCGACTCGCCATCTGAGTTCCTGGGGACTTTTCCCGCCAGGACGAGATCCGACACTGTGCTCCAATCCGGTCGCATTGGCCTGAAGTCGAGATCTTCTCCGGTGAGGGATTGCACTGTTGCTCCTCTTCGGATCTGATCCAATACCTGCCATTGAGCTGTTATAACCAAAGTCTGTGCCTCCCTCAGGTACAGATCTGGCATCGCTTGGGAAGGTTTCTTCCAAGCACCCTGATGCCGTACGGTACGAGGGGAAATACCGAAATGCGTCATGTAAGTTGGTGAGGTGTTCTTGCATGAGTGCCATCTCAGCTTCATAATGGCTCTCTCATCGAGAGGGGTCTTTACGCCAGCTTCCCTGTCATCAGAAAGACATTTCCTCACAACTAGGTTGTCTTCGGTGATCAGGGGAGGACACAACCTGAAGCCGCCCTGACCGTCGGAGGCACATCCCACAAAGCGATGCTCTCTCCAGCGAGGCCTATGCATCTTGATAAGCAGGTCGACCCAGAATCCCTGGATGGGTTTACTCCCACCCAGGCTGCTGCCCACGGCCTCGGCCCCGACTTTGTCTTGGCCGCTCTAGCGCGAAGGCCAAGGACCTCCGGCCTTCCCACTGGCCGGCACCATTGAATATCCTCCATGGCGGTACCTGCCAGATCACTGTGGCGGACGCTTGCTTGAATACACAGCCTGAGCTTCCCACAAGCGACCCGAGTCTGTAAATCCTTTTTATCGTCGAGGACCACACCCTCCAAGTAATCCAGGAAGTCCACCTCGAAGTGTGGGGCTGGAGAGCGCTCCGGCGCCTTTGCAGCATAGTCCGCTGCTAGCTTTCTGATCCTCGGGTGCTTGGATCCCGGTGATTCAAAACCAAAAATGCCTGCGAAATGCTCGATAGCGTACAGAAGGCTTTGTGGTGTACGAAAGCCCACCTCGTCTAACATCAGCTGTCTCAAATACTTCTGGAGGAATGGGACACCGAACGGATCCGGTGTGGCTCCCTCCAGTCCTCCGTGGAATTCAAAAACCGCTAGGTACTTCTTCATAAGTCGAGCATAGCGCAACCCCGTCCCGGCTGAACGAGGCTCTGTCAACATGTAGAAAGTCTCGTCGTTGATCTCGCCCTGCTCCACAACCGAATCGACAAGGTCCATTTCTACCTTTAGGATAACAAGGTCCTCGAAGAGAGTCCTTGCCAATCCACGGAAATTCTCTTGTTTCTCAGCTTCGAGGGGACCCCACCTAGCTGGTAACTTCTTCGGAATGTAGCCGATGGCGCCTCTCTCCTCCCTTGAATCCTTTTCCAGGTCTGGAGGAGGTGTAGCCTTTTTTCTGAATTGCGGAGGGGGATCCACTCCCTCCGGTTTGGAGCCAGTCTCCTTACTTGGCTCGCCAGGACCTTCCGGAATACCCTCTGGCGGCGATGATGGTACATAGTCCCATTCTTCTTCTGGGGTTTCATGGACCTCTTTCATTCTCGGAGGAGGGGTTGCCTTCTTCTTGAAGGACACTCCCTGCTGCTCTCCGCCAGTGGCCCAAGGCTTTTCCCTCGATTTGTACCTTCCAAACGAGTCAGAAGGAGAGACTGAGGGGATCGACGGCTCCCTCGACTCCTTCCCACTAGGGAAGGGCTTTCTCCCTCCTGCCACCGAGAAAGGGGACTCATATTGCAAGCTCGCCGGGGTAGACACTGAACTCCCGGGAGTGGCCGATCCGGACGGAGCTTCCAGTACGTCGGTGGTGCTAAGGGGGGTCTCCCCCTCTTCACCTTTTCGGATCAGCTCAAGTATCTTTGTACTTGGAACGCCCTGCTCTATCATCCTAGCTATCTCTACTCTGGCCGCCCAAGCCCCGACCGCCATGATGCCCGCAGTCTTTCCCAGCTTCTCTCGAGAAGAGCTACTGAGGCGTGCATCCCTCTCGGTCCTCTTGGCTTGACGGCCACGCGGATCCGACATACCCTCTCTCCCCCCGCTGAAAAACAGCACTAGGGTGTGAGGGTAGATCGGGTGGGCTTGTAGCCAAAATGGCCACGTGTGGGTTTTGCTGTTGGAACATTCACTCTAGTACCAAGGCACAAACTGCGGATACCTACCTGTCCCACCTTCGGTCCAAGGCCCAGACCCTTCGGTTCCACCTTTTGCATTTGCGGCAGTTCCCGCGGCACCACCATTCCGACTGGCGCGGGCGGCCGAATGTTCCGATGACGGGCGAGGCGGAGCTTGCGGCCGGGTGAGGGGCGGAATGATTGAAGGGGTCAAGGAACTCAGTATTTCGCTGGGTCCGGTCATGCAAAAACAGTACTCGATGTCAGGAAGCAAGTTTTACTCGGTCCTTGGACTGGTAGGGCTCGACTCCACCAATGAAGAATATGGAAGCTCCCAACAACGTCCCATTCAATCCCGGAGTTCAGACCGCGTCATAAGCTATGTCCCTTTGAAGCTGGGTCGTCCTAAGAAAAAGGCCCACAAGCGTCCCTCCAAACGATCCGACCAACTGAGGCCAACGACCCCGACTCGGTCCCACCTCCTCCGAAGCGTTCAGAGAGGCATTGCCAAAGCTTTGCCTTGGCGGTCCGAAGGTGGCCTTGACAGTCGCATGGGACCCTCGATCTCCGGTCTATAATCCGTTTGCTTGGACATCCAGCAAACGCTCTCATGGTTGTCCTCCGCACAGTGGTTTGGATGCAGCTTCCGACCAACACAGCGACTCCATTTCTCGAGAAATGGACGACCCGCATCAAGATTCCAAATTGTAAATATATATATATATATTATATGTATGTATAGTTATATATATATATACATATTATGAGCAAAGGCTATAGTAAGGCAAGTGAATCTTCCACTTGTTCTGAGTTCTACCCCACCCCTCATCCCACTCGTAAAAATCCTCACGAAGCATAAAAATCCTCATCATCTGTGTGCGGCCCTTCCTTCGATCGGGTGATCTTCAGCCGAGTAGCTCCAAAGCAAAGGATGAGTCCTGAATCAAGGAGGAGACCCCCACACAGTCCCACATGCCTTTTTCAGCAGCTGATTTCCAGCTGCAGCTTTCGTCGAAAGTATCCATGCTGGCTTTCATGTGCGACCGGCGCTTGATTTACAGCACATTCATAGGAGTTATATAAGTTATAAGTACAGTATCTAAAATGCCTTAAATCGACTGTTTCAGAACAATGATGGTGGGCGTGGTAGGGGGTGAAACCTTGAATCGACTGCCCACGAGTGTTGGAACTGAATGCTTCTTGATTTTTTCAGTGCCTGTGTGTGACGGACATCCCAACTGTCCTCAGCATCGTCCAAAGGGTCATCGAACTCATCCATGTCGTGTCCAGACGGATAGTCATACTCCTGGCCGCTTTTCAAGTCACTCACTTGATTCCAGTCCAGTCCACAGCCGATTCCAGTCCACTCTTGGACACCCCATCCTCTTCCTCCTCTTCGCCTTCGGACGCCGGCGAAGCAAGCTTTGAAAATGGCGCAGAATCGAGAAGACTTGCAGAATAGCTGACTTCTGCCAAGGAGCTCGTCTCTTCAAGACGTCTCATCTGTGTTCTATTTGAGGTCGCATTCAGCAAGGCCTGCGCCACGAGCCACACAAGGCCATAAGGTCACTGGGCATGATGTTTGATCATGGTCCCCAACTGAGAGCCGTTTGTTATTCTCACGTACTGCAGCATCATTCTCACTCCACTTCGCCAGGACAAGGCAGCCAAGGCCCAGGCCAAGGCCTCCTTATCACCTGAGCTGAACACCCGTCGTGCGGCTCCGCACTCAGACCGGGACCGGCAAATCTGCAGGATCTCTTCGCGGAAGCGTGAAACCCCAAAGGCTTTGAGCGGCCAAGACACCCAGGCTCCAATGGTGGGTGTTATTGGAGGCTAGGCCAGGGTCCTCACACATGCATCACTCTGCGAGTAAAGAGAAGAATTGATGGGAGAACTCTCTGACAAACTCATGCTCGCCCAGCCAGGTGCACAGAGAGGTCATGGTCCTGGACCAACAACTCCAACGAGAGGTTTGCTGCCAGAGGTCTGACCTGCAAGCGCTCGCGTTCTCGGAAACCCAAACGCTTATCCTCCAGAAAGCAATAGACCCCCCCCAAGAGCTTTCAATGTGTATAACATTCTATAACACTGAAAAACCAATGATGACAGGTGGAAAGTTTCAAACTCGTTCTCCAAGCATGCTCCAGCCTTGGCCGCAAAGGCCAAGTCCACCAAGGGCAGCAACCAGACTAGCTTCCTGGGCTTCGATCGCGGCAAGGCATGTGGGGTGCCAGGGTCTATATTCGAGCATTCTGTTGCGCCAAGACACATTGTACATATCATGGTGAATGTGCTACGTTAGTTGGAGAGAAACCAAGTTCTCTCGGATTCGGCAAAACTCTTGCCCAGGCAAAGGCCCGCGGGCAAAGAGCTTGAGCCGAATCCTTGCAGGACACAGGACACATCTTTTGCAACAATAAGCAAGGCCCAAAGGCAGCAGAAAATCCATCAACGATCTTTCCCCATCATGCATGTGCTTCTTCTGCATCTTGCAAGCTGGGGGTGTCTGCATAGAACCAATCTATGTCGGATGCAATGCCAAACTGTTCTGTTCCTCAAAGTGGCCATTTCATGATGATAGGCTCCGGCCAGCTTGGAGGCCAACAAATTCACTCAGGCATTGTTCGCTCACTTGGCAAGGATGCAAATTCCAAACAGCGGTCCGAACACATCTCCAGCCAGTTTATTTTCACAACAAGAACTATCTAACTTCGTTGGCTGTGAAACATTCTACGGCTCTACCAACCGACTTCGAGGATGCCTCTTGTTGCAAGAGAATTCGACCGTCCTTTTGTCTTTCATGGGCCGGCCATCTAGACGAATAATGAAGAAACATGAAGAAACACTATTTTTGTCCCTTCATCTTTCCTCCAATCAGCAGGTCAAGGTAAACTGTGGCTTTCGAACTTCGCGCCGTCTCCATGGCTTGCACACTCAGCCCTCTCACCTCATTTTCTTTGCGAGCCACAGATGGATGGTCTGGCTTGGTGGACACCCCAAAAATGCGCCTGGTGGAAGGCAACTCTGTGGAAGGGAAGGGAACCAGGCTTTTTTTTCTCTTTCAACATCCCCTTCTGTGAGAGTTCACCAGAATCTCCAACACCACTTCGACCCCACAAAACAGGCTGATCTCGCTCGCGAGAGGTTTCTCCAGGGGTCCTGCGTGAAGCCAGGCATCTGCTGCGCCCTTTCGCGGATGCGGTCCATCTCCTCTTGTAACCTTCTTTTTTCCGAGGCGCCAACGGGAGGAAGCTGTGGATGTGAGAAACGGCGAACATCCAAAGTGCCAAAGTTGGGTGTTCACTGAAGATCACATCCAACTCCAAGTAGAAAAGATGAACATCGGAAGATGCAAAAAGTTCCTTTCATCACCCAGACATATGAGGTGTGGGCTCGATACAACTGGATACAATCATGCGGCCGGCCGCTGGCTTGCACTCTGTTCAACAAATGTGGAAGTTGGAAGGAGGTGTGATCTGTGTGTTGCAATCTCTCGCTGGAAACATGGCACTGAGCAAACCCGAAGGCACCAGAAAACCAGAATCTTGTAAATGCCTGCAAGAATCTGTTAAAAATTGCACCAGGCACCAGGTTTTGGCTTCTCCCTGTCATTTTGACCATGGCCCATGCTGCCCTCTGGGCACCCAGACTTATTGGTGGTGTTTGGGTCCAACGTGCCAGAGCGGATCTTCTCCAGCAGGTCCTCTCACAGTGTGACAGCTGCACCGACGGCGAGAGTTCCGATTCCACGTGAAGAGCCTCCATTTTGGGGGGGTCCGGACGCAAAAACGCACGGCGTGGTTTTTCTAGATGTATTTTCCCAATGTCTTCCAGGCCTTGCAAGTCTTCCAGGTCTTCCAGGTTCCAACATCAACCAATTGATTTCGACGTCAGAAAGAGGCAGACTGCCCGATGTCGGGTCGAGCTCCTTCATGTCTTCCCCTTTCTGAGCTGCCTGGAGTATTAGCACGCTATGCTCGGAGGCCATCGCAAGTAGGTTGGAGGCCATGGCTACTAGTGGCAAGACGCTAGTAGGAAGAAGCTGTTCACATCGGCAACAAGTTCATGAAGACACCATGCTGTCTTTCGACAAGCACCACTGCGGGGTCGATCTAGAGTTTGGAACCCACCCGTGACGGGCCGGGCCGTCGTGTCTCTGTACGGCACAAAAGAAAAAAGAACCAAAATAACATCCAAACAATAAAAAGGAAAACACAGCTATCTATTACATTAAAAGAAAAAAAGTACGAACATACCGCGACGCTTCGCCTGGATGACGCACTGCGCCGCTTGCTGCGAGTCTTGTGGAATCCCATCTCCCTCGTGTCGATCGAGACGCACTGCGAGTCTTGTGACCCAGTCGACACAGTGTCCGAGCTGCGCTGTTTGGTGGAGTAAATCCAGTGGTCAAGACTCTGAGCCTTAGCGGCTAACTGCAAGACTTATAACTCCTGACCCAGCCCTAAATCGTTGTACTCCATAAATCCGTGAGTCTGATCGGACTTCTCGCACATCCTGAGGCGTGTTTCCCGCACCCGCCACATCCCACCACACCCACCCGGCCGTAGCGAACATCCTGGAGAGGTTCATGAGGGCATTCCGATGACCGGCCTCAGATCGGGTGAAACCACCCCTTCACCCAGGCGTCTGAGACGTCTGCAGGTCGGGTGTCCAGTCCCGTGAAACCACGTCACCGGGCCATTGTGGTGTCAAAATGCTTGTCTGGTCTTTCAGGGATTGTTTTCTTATGTTTTCTTCAGCCTCATTCACGTGAAGAAAGGACCAGCCTTTTGACCCTCTACTGTATCTGGTCTCGATATGTCTCAACAGCAAAAGGGAAGGCGAAAGGGCGCCCTCAAAGGCCCTGGCCTCCCCTGCAATGCGAAAGTGCTTTGCAGCGGCCCGTTTGTCCTGAACGATTTGAGTGCGGGGACAAAGGTTCCCCTCTTTCCGTGCTCCCTTTTCATACTTCTTCTGCCATCTCAATCCTCTGAGGTCTTCAGATTGGAGCCTTCTGAACTGAAGACGGCGATCAATCAAACCCAGTTGTCCATATGAGTTCCCGGCAAAGCCTCACTGCCCTTTCCATCCACCCGCCCTAAACATGATTATATAGTTTCTTCATCTTTGACCAGTCTGCGTGCCGCGTGCTACACGTTCCTCGCGCGTCACAGGCAATCATCGACCCATCCTGCGGGAAGCCTAGCTTGCCCTTGACCTTTAGGACGCCCAGATTGAAGTGTGCGGTCACATCGCCCCCCTGAATGTCAGGTCAGCTCTGTCAGCGCTCTGTCAGCACGGTCAACGCTTTGTCAGCTCTCTCTCTCTCTCTCTCTCTGTCAACTCTGTCGGAACCATCCAGACTTCCGAATTCATTAGACCTGACATGAGAGTCCACGGGATCCTTGTTCGGTTTGGTTTTTCCCTGCACCCATGACAAACGACAAAGTGACTAGGTGCTTTGAAGAATCCTGTTTTCCAAAGTGAAACCAAACGAAATCAAAACGCCACTCCGCCTCAGCACCCCGTTCCAGGAAGTATCTGGCTTTTTCCACGTCTTGTGGCAAGCCAAACATCCCCCTTAGCATTGGCATCCCAAACAAACCACAAGTGCTACACTCTGACTCTGACTCACAAAAATGGAACTGGAGCAGAATAGGCCCCCTGAAAGACCACTTTCCTTTGCAAACAGATGGTTTTGAGTTTCCATTTTAGTGAGTCAAAACACAAATTGCGTTCGACTTTCTGGACTGCTGGAGACCTCTATGTTTCAAAGACATCAGACCCTGTCCTTGCCGGTTCCGTGCTGGGTGCCGTGTTCCTTGGGCACAAAGTGCCCCCGTAGCAACATAATAGGTTCCAAATTGTCCGAGTACTCCCCAAGCATGGTGATGCTCATTCGCTGCCAGCATGAAAGGGAATCAGGGCCGTTTTGAGAATGCTTTGATACATCTTTTCAAGCCAAGCCACTGCGCATAGGCCGTCCCCAGCTCGGTGTCCGCCGGTGCAAAGCCCTGCTCAGATGCCTTTGCAGCGTTGTGGGGATTGGAAGAGCCCCACTGTGCTGATGACCATCCACTGTCACCAAGTGCATTCTCGACTACTACGCTCCAGCAACACACCTGAATTAATAGGCGTTCTTCAACACAACACACAGTACTGGCTCACATGCCAGCCAGCCACGGGAAAAGGTTGCACTTGCCCCTTAAACTTGAAAGATCACTGAAGGTGACCAGAAGTACAAAGAAAGTCTGAAGCTATGCACAAGACCTGCGATATACGAAAAACGCTGTATTTTTTCACATGTTGTAGATTCTTGGCAAGAAGTCGAAGAAATACAAACACTTAGATACAAGTCATAGTTGTTGTCTTGCTTTGTCTTCTTTTCCTTGCTGCCTTGCTTTGTGTTGTTTTCGTTGCTTCCTTTCCCCAAACAGTGTGCTGTTGGGGTTCTCTCTTAGGAAAAAATGCTGGCCACAGTCTTTGGTCACACCCCTGAACCCTGTGTCCAGGTGTTGTCCTCCTGTTGTCCTCTCCTTGTCCTCCAGTTGTCCTCATCTTCCGGCCGTTCTCTGGCCGCGCTGGCGAACCCTGTGTCCTTGATGGTGTCCTCCTGCTGTCCTCGTGCCACACTTGCGAACCCTGTGTCCTCCTCTTGTCCTTTTGATGTCCTCCTGATGTGTCCTCCTGCTCTCTTCGTGCCACACTTGCAATCGCTGGGTCCTTCTCTTGTCCTCCTGCTGTCCTCTGGCCGCGCTGGCGAATTCTATACCACCAACATTGGATTTCAAGGACTTGCCGCAAAAAAGACATGCTGAAACTGTTTGGGGTCTATGCTGGCATAATGTATTTATCATGTTGATATATGTGTGTGTTTTGTTTTTGTGTATTTTGTAATAATGAATAACATACAAAAAGGTACGAAAAAATACAAACAAATCCGAAAAACAATGTGTCTCATTGCATTTTCATGTTTGATGTATTTATGTTTTGCTTTGCTATGTTTTGTAATGACGAATAGCATACACAAAAGTACAAAAACAGTACGAACAAATCCGAAACAGCATATGTCTTACTGTATTTTTTTTGCGATGTCTTTACTTTGTTTTTCTATGGTTTGTTAGAACGACTAACATATGAAAAAGAACGAAAACATAACAAACAAATCAAAAACAGCAGCATATTTCATATTTCTTATAGTTTTGTTCACATTCCGCGAAGCTCGGATTTCCGATTTCGTACCCCATGAATTCAGCATGTTCGTACCTTTTTTCATATGATTCTTCTTCCTATGGAAGCTCCAGGACCTGTATTTCTCAAGCTCAACTTTCCCTTCCACACCCACATCCACATGACCCCACCTGCTGCATACACCTAATGCCTTTGGCCAGGTCAGACCTGGCAGAAATGATTGCCGAGCCGATTTCTCCGAAGGCAGGTTGGCAGCAACCAAAGAACGATGTCCAATGACTTGCAGGTAGCTGACCAAAAGGTATGAACGGTTTAAGGCGTCGTGTCAGATTTTGCAACACCAATCGTAGTGAAAGCATGTGAAAGCTACAGTTGCCAGCCGCAAATTTCTCGGACCCTGCAGCCCTCGATTTGTTCCCTTGCGCACCCAGATTCCAGCAAAGAAAAGCCCTGGGCATAGAGTTCCTCCGCTCAAAGCACATGTGAAAATCTCAGCCGCTCTTCGAATGAAAAAGACAACTATTTCCGCTGTGCTGATCGATAACTTCTGGATAATTTATCTTGAATGACAATCAAAAACGATGTGAACTTCGCGACTTACCCACAAACCTGAGAAGATCAAGCCTGACCACCTCTCGAGAAGCCATGGGTCAGAAAACATGTTTGTTCATACAGCAACCTACTGCTCTCTGCATCTCCTCAGCACTCCACCGACATATTCTGCCGACTTGTCTAACCTGCCAACAATTGCCCTGAGTGACGGGACAATGACGAACCAACAAACCTTTTGACAGGCACAAGCTACTTCAATTTCGCCCCACTCCGCCTTCGTCATACTCAATTTCGACTTTGTTCGTGAAGAACGTGTCGTCATCGTGGCATATTACCATATAATATATATATATATAATAGTTCCGAACGTTTGACTTGCTCTGTAAACCCTGCCAACTCCTGGGTTGCCATCTATCTGGCTTCGTTTCCCTTCCAACCTTCCCCAAAGAGCCAGACACGAAGGCCTTGGTCCGGGTCGGTTGTCATGCTTTAAGTGTTTGTTCATCAAGAAATGAAGCGCAAGTCAAAACTGGTGGGTGTAACTCTTGGCACTTGATGATAAGCGGAGGCTACAAAAATAGGAACTCGTGTCCTTTTTCACATTCCTTCTAAACTCGACATACCTGCCAAGCAAACATGATCAGGTGACCCTGCCCTCGTTGCCTCGGCTGCACAGAATGCGATCACCAGCGCGCTCGCTGCGCTTGCTTGCCGGCTCCTCACGTTTCCACAAACACATGCCTGCCGTTGTCAGCCAGCAATCCCAGCAAACCCAGCAAATTCCACAATTTGAAGGATCTTTTTGGGACATTTGTGCTGATGTGTCCGCTCCTAAACACACTTAAAGACACTTGAACAACAAGAACCCTGAGCCCCAAGCCGGTGCAACCGCATGGCTCTCCACCCAAACTCACATTCTTGACTGAACACATAAAATGGCATCAGGATCAAAAACTCAAATGGTACAACTCAACTGCCAACACTTGCATTCCATCGCAGCCGCGGTTCTCACACGCACATGTCATGAGTCATGACTCTGCAAATTAACTGCAGTTCACGCGAACTCTTTCCCGAATGCGGTTTACTGGCAGTGTCAGTCTGGAGTCCAAAACGTTTGTCTTACACAAGTATCAGCACCTGCAAATATTGTTTTGTTACTTTCAATCTCCGGGGCCTTCGAATTGAAATTGTCATTTATTGGATTGGGTTCCCGGTGCACAGCAAATTGCTGGTTTGGTGAACTTGCCAAAAGCGCTGCAAAATATTGCACACATTGCACACGGACACTTTCATCCCGCGCAAACATGTTTCTGGGCCATGTGTGCCTGCACCTAATGTCAGCCCACATCCAAATCGGTGACACTATCACCCCCAGGGCAGCCAATTGCTGCAGGTTCTAAAAACGTATGTTTTGTACAAATGTTTCCCAACTGGGCCCAGGCCAGGTGCACACGTCAAAGGTGTATTTGAGGCCGGCCAATTGCCCCCCGTCTCTTGAAAAAAAAAATTTCACACCAAAAAGAACACATACAGTAAAATTGTCTGCACCTTCTAATAGTGATTCACAGCACCCTTTGTGACGGTACAAAATTCAGAAAACACTCAAAAGGAGGATCTGAAGCGGGCTTCAAATGGATCGAAAGGGGTGAAGGAGAGGTTGAGCCGGGTTGAATAAGATCGTGGGTCCAATGTTTCGCAAATCGATGTACGAATTTGCACGGCTCAAACAAATCTTGACACGAGAGCAGGTGTCCGATTCCCAAAAAAAAATCCTTCGGAACACAGGTCCAAAAAAACGCTCGCAGCAAACAGGCCAGCAAAAATAACATCTCTGTGCACAACCTCCTCATGGGCCAGCGAAGTTGCCAAAGTGCACAATTCACCACGAGGTTACCGCAAAACCCGGCACATAACATGCCGCAGATGTTTGCAAAAAATTGAAAACAACACGGAATGGTTAGATGCTCCAGCGTCTGCACGCGAAATTGAAATTTCCCCGTATTAACTCAAAAGCTTCATTGTTCCCTTTGCAATCAATCACTCTCCTCGGAGCAAAGACGTTGATTGAAAATGAAAATGTCAAGTTTAATAAAAAGAGGATCGGTA